TCTTTCCCTGCATGTATTTAAACTATACAGTAATCAGAACTGCCATTTAACTAGACTAATCAATAGTATTTAGCCTCCCGAAATAAAGTATAAGATAATTATTAATTTGGTTTGTGCTATCTTATTGAAAAAAAAATTTTTTTTTTTACAATTTTTATGATGAAAATATTCAAGTGGAAGAAGAATAGTACAACAATAACTTACTACTGCTTTCTTTTAAATTTTGTGATTTTTGCCTTCTTGGAACTATTTGAAAGTAAGTTGTAAATATTATAATACTTACTCAGGAAACACCAGTCTCTTGGCTGAAGTTTCCTTGATTATCATTTTTTTTTTCCTCTTGATTATCTTTTTACTAAAATGTTCATCCTCTAGTGGAGTCTAGAATATTTAATTATTTAATTTCTGAATTCTTGCATGTTTCAAATGCAAGAATTTGTCTTATGGTCTTGATTCTTGAAGGAATTGTATATAAAATATTTGATTTGCATTTTCTTTACCTCAGTTCCTTAAATATAATGTTTTGTATGATGTATGTTACAGTTGAGAAATGCGATATACACTTTTCATTTTTAATAAATATATAATAAATAAAAATTATAAACATCTTATTCTTTTTGAGGGTCCAGAGAATTAAAAAAAATTCACAAAGTTTAATATTTGGATTTTTATTATATTATACTCTGAAAGATATTCATATATTGCATTGGATTTTGTTCAATATATTCTACATTCATCTCTCAGCATCAAGAATTGATTGGTTGCAGAACATCCCCCTGCCTTCCCATGGATACCAAAATCAGCAAATGCTGATGTCCTTTACATAAAGTATAGTATTTGCACATAACCTATGAATCATTAAGTAATCTCTGTGTAACTTATAGTACCTAATTACAATATAAATGGTATGGAAATAGTTGTTATACTATATTATTTTCTAATTATTATTATTTTGAATATTTTCAATCTGGTTGGTTGAATATATGGATGTAGAACCCATGAATATGGAGGGCCAGCTGCTTATGTTTCAGGGTTGATGGTCTTAGGTCAGTTTTCCAAGGTAAAGAGTAAGAATATTTAATATGATGTTTCAGGTATTATTTTATTTTAGAATATTTTCTTAATAATTTAAAATATTTAGTTGCATTTATTTTATTTTCTTCAGGGAATCCAATTATACGTTTATTGTATTCTTGTTTCTCATTGTCTTTATCTATTTCTCTTAGATCCTTTTTAAATATGTTTTTATTTCTGATTTATTTCCAGGTTTTTGGCTTCAGGTCCTATCTCCTTTATCTCTTGCTGTCACTATAGTTATCTTTTCTCTCTTGTACAACTCTTTTTTTTTTTTTTTTTTTTTGAGATAAAGTCTTGCACTGTTGCCCAGGCTGGAGTGCAATGGCGCGATCCCTCTGCCTCCTGGGTTCACGCGATTCTCCTGCCTCAGCCTCCCGAGTAGCTGGGATTACAGGTGCCCACCACCACACCCAGCTAATCTTTGTATGTATGTGTGTGTGTGTTTTTTTTAGTAGAGACAAGGTTTTGCTGTGTTGGCCAGACTAGTCTTGAACTCGTGACCTCATGATCTGCCTGCCTCAGCCTCCCAAAGTTCTGGGATTACAAGCGTGAGCCACTGTGCCTGGCTGTACAACTCTTAATTTAGTCTTCATTTCTTGGATGATTTTTGTGTTACTCTTCCATGTTTTTTTTCCCTGAGTCTGGTCACCATCTTTCTATTTTTGTCTTTGTTTTGTAGTATTTTTATGCCTGAAGTTATTTAAAAGTTATATTTGAATATGTGTTGTCCTAGTGGTGGTGGAACAAAAATATAATGAAGTATTGACCTGTAGGAGAGTGTCCTACTTTAAGTGGGTTGCACAAAAATCCTTATGTATGATTGTGGGGAGACATGGGAATCAAAAAGAGGGCTGTACTACTCTTTTCCTGTTCTGCTGGCAGGTTTTGATTTTGATTTTCTATTTTATGTAGTAAGTTTTTGTGGATATTGGATTATTTTTTCTGTTCATGATTATCTATTATATTTTTCTGAACAAGCAATAGCCCGTGATCACGTGGGAAGTGGTAGTGGGTGGCTTACTTTATTTCTTAGTTCTGGACAGACCTCTTCTTCTGCTACACTGAAGTTTAATTTCTTTAACAAATGCTGCCTTTTGTGGTTGTCGGCCCAGCTTGTCTTCTTTTCTTTTTTTTGAGATCCAGTTTTGATCTTGTCACCCAGACTGGAGTACAGTGGCATGATCTCAGCCCACTGCAACCTCCACCTCCTGAGTTCAAGTGATTCTTCTGCCTCTGCCTTCTCAATAGCTGGGATTACAGTCACCCGCCACCATGCCCAGCTAATCTTTGTATTTTTAGTAGAGACAGGGTTTCACCATGTTGGTCAGACTGGTTTCGAACTCCTGACCTCAGGTTATCTGCCTGCCTCGACCTCCCAAACTGCTGGGATTACAGGCATGAGCCACTGTGCTTGGCCATGGCTTGTCTTCTTTTGACTCTTTGATTCTGTCTTGTTTCTGTAGGGCCCTTATTTCAGCTGCTTTTTTCTTTCCCTTTATCATGGACAACCTTCCTTCAAAGGTGCTTCTATCTCAGAAGTGATTCCTTCCTAGAACTGCCTTTCTAGTTCTTCCTAGTTTACAAGCCCCTCCTTTTGTGTCCATGTCTGGCACTCTGAGCTATTAAGTTTTTTTGTGTGGCCCACTTAAGGTAGGCCACTCCTTTTGACAGGTCAGTATTTGATGATGTTTAGTTTCCCCACTACCAGGACCCCAAGGTACTTCCTTTTTTCCCCATGTTATCACCCTGCTTTGGCTCAGGATCTAATTCTGCTGATTTGTTATCTTTATTTGGCCACCTACATGTTAATCCAGGGATTTGTATTCACTTTCTCCTTGTTATGATGTAGTCATGGATCATAGGCATTTTTATTTGGTCTCAATCTGTATGCATCTTGGGAGGATAGGGAGAAACATTTAAATTCATACATTTGCCATTATCTGGCGTCCAGGTGAAAGAGAATTGTTTTGTGTATTTCTTCTAATCTAGATGCTAAAATAATTACGCTTTATATCCTGTCTATTGCTATACTCTTTTTAAGTTTTACTTGATTAGATTCTAATGTGAATGTTATGACTTTTACATTTTTTGATTGATTCTTTATTCACACTTATCTTTATTGTCAAAATGAGTGTGGATTGTTCATTTTCAAGAATTGTTAACCACAATAAATCCTTTGGGGAGCTTTTTGAAAACACAATGGGATTTTGGAGAAGTGGAACCCAATAATTTATATTTGAAAAGTTTATCACTTGATCCTAATAGTACACTCCAGGATGTGAAAAGAAAAATTTTAAAGAAATGCAGTTGAACAGAGTTTAATGAGCAAAGAATAATTCATTGATCAGGCAGCCTCCGAATCATAATAGATTCAGAGAGACTGCAGCACTACCACATGATTGAAGATTTGTGGACAGAAAAAGGATAGTGACATATGTAATATGGAAGCAAGGTACAGAAACAGCAGGATTGGTTACATTTGCCTTATTTGAATCTGGTTTGAACAGTTGACTGCCTTTGATTCACCAAAACTCAGTGAGTGGCACAAGAGTAAGCTGCAGGTCTGTTTACACATCCAGTTAGGTGACAGTTTGCCACGCATTGAGAAACCTTTAGGCCAAATTTAAAATATGTGTGGAGGCAGCTTTAGGTTAACCTTAATTTAACAAAGGTAAGAACCACCACCCTAGGCTGAAGTGATGGTTAGTGTTCTTGTACTTTGTGAGATTATCCATGTAGTAATTTGCAAGTTTATGATATGAAGAAATTAGACTTTCATGGTAATGATTTTTAATTAACATTTTATTTGTGAGCAAAATAGATGAGATAACTATCAATGCATCTACTTTATCATATCATATATTCATGTAATAAATATTTTATTGAAGGGCTGCTATACATCAGATATTGTGCTAGACACCAGAGATATAAAACTGAGATGACATCATCCTTGTACTCCCTCTGTTCAAAGAGACATGTGGAGATATACTGATAAACACTCTAAGTATTACATAAGGGCTATGAGATAGTGGACATAGGATACGTTAGGAGCTGATAAGAAGGTGGAATCAGGTATAGTTTACTCCTGTCATTCCTCTTGTTTCTTCCCTCTTTCCAAAGGAATATTCACTGGGCACTCTGTTGGGTGCTAGGGATAGAGTGGAGAACAGGGTAGTCATGGCCTCTGCTTTCAAAGTCCACACTGTTTCGAAACAGATAGATGCCAGATTGTAAAAAGGAACCAGCATCTAAAGTACTACTGGAGAAGTAGGAACTAAGTTTCTTGGGGGAGATGATTCTAAATTCTGAGTCTTGAGTAAGTTAACCATGTGAAGAAGTTGGGGGAATGATTTTACAGGTTGCAAAAACTCAGACATGAGAGAGAGTATAGTGTTTTTAAGTTAAAACTAATTGTCTGGTGTCCTTGGAATGTGGGGTATGGTGGGAATTTTGTGTTCTCTTTGCTATTAGAGAGGTATGTTTAAGGATTCATATATCAAATATATCTGGTAGTGCAGTGATTAAATTGAGACTCTAAGAACCAGTAGGCGTGTGCTTATAGGGTTTGGAGGGCTGGGCAGAGAAATTCAGAGGTGGAATGCCATGAGAACATCTACCATGTTCTGGTAACATAAGTCATTCTGGATTCTGGGGGCAAAAAATGTGAGGTGAAGAGTAGTGGAAGATGAGAGTGGGTAGTTAGAGAGAGGATCATGAAGGTTCATTTTGCATGCAAAGGAGTTTAGGTTTTATGATTTATTTATAGGGAACCACTAAAAATGTATCACATAATAACTATTCCAAAAATATTAAGAAATACAGAAAATGTTTTCATATGGCAGCTTAATTCTATATTTTATCAAATAATAATTAAAACTCCAAAATTAATAAATCCTTATTTTGTTTTATTTTTAAATTTTCAGATAGAAAATCCTCGATACCTGAGACAGAAGCCTATCCCGGTTTCTCTGGTATGTGAGAAATCTGTTGGAGTTTTTCTAGGGACAGGTATTTTAAAATAAAATAATCACTAAGTTATTTACAGAAAATAATGCAGATCTGCATCAGAAAACAATAGTTTTTGAATCTTATCACTTGGAAGTTATTACTATGATTATTTTGCAAAGTTAGTATAATTTTGGTATGGGCTTCAGGCAATTTAGAAGTTTTCTTTGGGTTAAGGATAAACCAGATCTGAAAACATATTAAATAACTCCTCATTTATTCTGCAGATGACTCCGAAACTCAGCCTGAGAAAATCCAGCAGTTTCCATGATGATCATTTTCTCTCTCGATTACGTGAGAAAGAGGTAGGATTGAGATATTGCTGATAAACCTAATTCATAATGCAGTTTTAATATTTTATATAATCTAGATTTTCAGGTTTTAGTTAAAATAATGGTATATTCTAAGAAGAGGTTACACTTGAAACAAATATAA